ATGAAATATTTCTAAATACAACTTCTTCATCAGATCTTACAAATTATTATATGAAAAAATTGACAATGAGATTTTATTTTAATGTAGGTAATTATTGATTAAAAAAAGTATATACTAATTATTAAAAGGGGATTATCTCATGTAGAGGTGAATTATGAATTTCTAATTGATCATGTTGCCGATTATCTGAAGTCTAAAAATAATTTTGTTTATTTTGTAAAATTTACAAAAATAATTAAAAGTATATTTTTCAGTGTAAAAATGATTTTTAAATGTTTAATTTTGTATATAGTTATGGTTTGAGTCTTTTGACAGTACGGTTAAGTATTGCGGATAGTATGAATTTTTATTTTGAATAAAATTATTATAATAATATATATATTTTAGATACAGAACTAAAAACATTTTTAACATTATGTTAACGTTAAGAAAATTATTTATAGGACCATGTCGATACAACTGATGTAAATGTTATAATTTTTTTATTGTTTCAATCTTTAATTAATGAAATTCTATATCACTTTGTAGCAAAAACCAATGTTAAATTTGATTATTAAATTATTAACCCAGTCAGATGTGACATTAAAGTGAAATAGTGATGGTTAATATTAAATAGTAATTACTTATTATTTTTGTACATTCTAGAAGATTCTAAATATGAATCAGATGAATATGCAGAATATGTGCATGTATTTCAATAATATAATATTACCTGTTGCAAAGTACAAAATTTAATGTACGAAATCAAATAAATTATTTAACAAAAAATGATTTATATTTATTTATAAATTTTAAACATTTCGAGAGTTAGAGGTAGCCGTATTATTTCCTATTTGAATGTATTTCCAACTAGTATAAATTTTCAATATAAAAACGAAATTTGATTATTATTTATTATTTCAATTCTATCAAATTACTGTACAACAAAAAGCACATTCGAATGATATAGTTACAATACTTCTCTCTGTGTGATCAACAAATTCCATATACACAAATTGGATTTTTATTGTTAGGACTGTTTGATTTTTGTTTTGAAACAAAAAAGGTACGGTAAAAATTCGAAATGGCAGGTGAGTCAATGGGCTTTCATTAAAAATGTAGTGAATTTTAGATTTCGACTAAATGAGAAAAATATGAAACGGCAAAACAGAATGGGAAAAAAAATCGTTGGTATTTAGGTTTAAAAATTATAAATTCTAGTTTTATAGATGGAACATGAAGAACGTTTACTATAAATTAAAATAAAATTTAATAGAGGAAATATATTTGCTAAGATGGTTATTAAATAAAATAAAAAAACAAAAAACAGTAACGAAAATGTTTAATAACTTCTTCATCAGATGTTACAAATTTATATTTTATTATATAAAGAAGCCAACAATAAGGTTTTAATAATGATAATAATTATTGATTAAAAAGATAATTATTAATTATTATAACAGACTACGGCAATGGTTTATGCTTGGTGGACATATGTGAAGTGTGCTCCCGAGTCAAAGCCAAATAATCCTAGTTTTTCGCTACGATTAAATTATGAAAACGATCCAAAATATTAAGAAATCCATGAATAAGATCATTGTGTAAAATGGTTCTAACTTGTAAATAAATCAAAGTTCGGAAAAGATTTTACTGGATGGGCAGTTCCGATGATGTAAAGGACTGGTGTAAGAAATTTATCACCTGTGCTATGAGTAATGGACCTCGACGAAAAAGGAAGGCACCTATGAAGCAATACAACGTTGGTAGCCCATTTGAGAGGATCGCTTTAGATATTGCTGGACTATTCCCTGTGACCTATTATGGTAATAAATACATTTTGGTGGTTATGGATTATTTTAAATGTGGGTGGAAGTCTACGCCATTCCAAATCAAGAGGCCGCAACTGTTGCAGATGTGATGATAAAAGAAGTTATCTGTCGATTTGAAATGCTCTTGGAGATGCACAGTGACAAAGGCAAAAATTTTAAAAACCAACTCTTTCGTGGAATCTGTGACATACTAGGCATGAAGAAAACCAGAACCATAGCATTGTATCCACAATCCGAGCGAATGAATAAAACGATTGGCAAATATCTGTTAAAAGTGGTTTCAAACCATCAGCTAGATTGGGATCAGTATCTTTCGCTCTTTGCAATGGCAATGAATTAACAAGCCAAACACCAGAAAAGGTCCTATTTGGGCGTGAGATGAGACTACCGTGCGACCTCGAGTTTGGATGCCAATCTGGAGAAGATGTAACTGGTGAAGAATATGTAATCCAGTTACGAAGAAGAATGGACGATATGCATGAATTGGTCCGCTCGCATCTTCAACAGGATGAAGAAGTGATACGATACCCAAGCCACAGAAGGGTGTTTCAAGGAGAGCGACAAAGTCTGGCTCCATGACCCAACAAGGCAAAAGGGTTATTTTACGAAGCTTCAAGCTTCTTAGGAAGGTCCGTACCTAACTGAGAAAAAAATTAAAGATGACAAATGGATGGCACCATTTGAGGGTAACTATGACGAGGAAGAAGAAGTAAACCAACTCCAAGAATCACCTGACCTTGTCTTTAAAGAATTTATGAGTGCATATGGAGGTACCGGCAAAGCAAGATATGGTGTTACAACCGAGCAACAACAAGATCTGCTCACGGTTTCTAAAGACTCGCTGGTCCATAGCACTTCCGCCAACATCAACGTCGCTCGAGGTCTGGCATCTGTATTCCAGAAGAAGTTTGGTCGATTGCCAGAACTTCAAGATCAGTTACCAGCCCCTGGAAAAGCATTGAAACTTCAAATTGGATCGCGTTACCTCTTTTATCTGGTAACAAAGAACCCCTTCCGAGATCGATCTACTTATAATGATGTATGGGAAGCATTACTTAGTTTAAGGGAGCACGCACTAGCCATGTCAAAGATAGAAGGAAATCAGCTGGATTGAAGGATCATTAGGATCATGGTGGAATTAATCTTTCAAGATACTGGAGTCCAAATACTGGTCTGCAGCCATTCGCCCAGTATCCAGGTTACAGCGAAAACAGTCCCTTGTTACTTCCATGCAACTGGAAATTGTAAAAGAGGAATCAGTTGCAAATACAACCATTCCATTTTAGTTTCGTAAGAGTTCCAGGAGGAACTATTTCTTAAGAAGGGGGCAATGTAATGCGAGCCATTTCATTATTCAGTCATGCTCTAATCCTCCAAGTCCCTCTCTGTCCTTTTTGGCCTTTGAGGATTAACTTGTATTAAACAAACGTTACAGATTTTAATACCGGTATGACATGGTTTATAAAATATTCCAATTGTGGAGAATAAAAAATTTATAATAATTTAATCAAATGCCAATGCCTAATTATCTTTTGATGACTTTCTCATTACTTTCATCACATAATATGTTAGTGCTGGGTTTAATGTTTCAATTCCTCGTGCCATATTTTTGTTTAATATCAAGACTTCATTTTTCCATTAAAATGTACAATATTTTAAAAAACAATAATAACGTTGCATGCATCATTAAATTGCTTCGTGAAAAATGAATTGTATTCCAATGAGAAAAATTATATTTTTTCACCTATTTCGCCCGTATAAAAGATTTTCAATTTATCCCGGAGTAAAAAACTCTTTCAACAATGCATCAAAATTAAAAACAATGCAAAAACAATTTGAGCGGAAAAAACTGTAATTGCCTGCAAATTGAAGTATTTTTATGCATGAATCCGTCAATACAATTTAAAATTAAAAAAATGTTTAATTCGACCCTCACACGTTACCTGTATATAGTGGTTCTAGAATTCTACTAGCTGGACAAATTATGATGATAGATTAAATTAATAAAATATTGGATAACTAATTAAATATAATAGGCGAAGATGGTATTAGTATTAAACAAAAAAAACACAATTAGATTGAATAATTTATCACTGTGTCTGAAGACGAATAAATTGAAAACTAGACAGCTGAAAAGTTGCAGATATATAACCAAAAGTAGAAAATCAGTTGACGATAGTAAATTTTAGACTTATTGAACCAAAGTTGATGTAATGCTTCTATAGTAATAGAAAGTCTAACTTTCTATATTTCCTACAGACTTTTCAGAATTCATCAGATAATTAGGGCTTTGTCTCAAGAAAGTGTCTTTAATTGACTTTATTCTTAATTGGTTAAAAATTATTAACTTTGTGGCGGATCCGAGCTTAACAAATAAGAGTTGATTTTATTTTTAATTATTATTATGAATTTTTTGCTTATGGTTTAAACTTTTAGTTATAAATTTTAAAATTTCCTCAATAAAGTCCTAATGTTAAAATATTCCTCATTCTAATTACCATTTATTAGTTTTAAAAGATATACTACTATACAATTTTTCAATATAAACTAAATATTCCATTTTGTTCCAGAGGCGTAATGCTCAAAGTTCACTTTAGCATTAAATTATAATAATAATATAATAATAATAATAATAATAATCATAAAGTAGTTTTGTCCAGGGATGTCGAATCACGGTGCCACGTCGCGAATTGCGATTAAAACTGTCGCATTAAAAAAACAAGAATATATATTTGTATTTGCGTCGAAATAGAATGAAAATATTTATTCAAATTTTTGATTAATGTGTACAATAACTTCAATTTATTGAGCAATGAAAATGCTCTCTACGCAAATATTTTGCTTGCAGCCACAACCAAAATTATTACGCAGAATAATATATTTTAGAACACACATCATGGCATTACTGATTTTTATGTACAAATAGGTGGTGTCGTTAGTTTAGACTAATTTAAAAAAAATACTCAAAATTAATTATTTTCTCCCTATTATAGGTTTAAAACGTATAATTTTAACGTTTATTGCTTAGTTTCCATTGTTTTTAGTTAAGTGATTACAAAAAAATTAAACCCAAGGAGATAAAACTATACTTTAGTCCCTAAAATACGCTACTGAACTACTACTTTCATTACATTCTTATTCTATTACTATTATAGTTACTTATTATTTCTAATTCGTTCTTCTTCGTTTCAGGTGTTAACAGGAAATAGCAATACCTACCTAGTGGTTCGACAACGACTGGAACTTCCCTTTATAGCAAGTAAAGTGCGTTTCATCCCTTACAGCGAACATCCCAGAACTGTCTGCATGAGGGTTGAATTATACGGTTGCCCATGGGAACGTAAGTACCAAAAATTATTTATTATCTTTATTAATTTTGTGAATATTATTGCCGCAACAAAAAGAAATAAGAAACAATTTAAAATGAGATAGCAGCATTTTTTGCGCTGCGTAAGTGCAAAGAGATTGCCCCCATACATAGTAGAGCTGTCCCAAGATGAGAAAGGTACACAGCCCAAACAGCACACATAGTCCAATGGATGTCCAATAAATTAAAATATTATAAAATAGTATGTGGTGAGCTGCGGTTGTGTACAAAAAGTGGGGATGGTGGTCCCAATGGAATATAATCCTGGAATGGACGTGATTTGAATGTCCAGTATTCAACGTCTAAATATAATCCAGAATTGGACATCCTATGAATGGTCAAAAGTGTGCCATTTGTATACTTCACTAGACGCCCATTGGACGTCGGAAGTCCAGAAAAAAACTCATTTTTGGACGTCTAGACATAGAAAATTGTATATCGAATGGACGTCCAATAGACCTATTTGTGCTGTCTGGGAGCATGGTGACGAAAAAAGTTGCGCAGTGGCAAGTGGCCTAGCAACAGCCACCTGGCGAAGCCAAACGTAGACATTCAGTGGCGCAACCTGTCTAAAGTGTAAAAGAAGTGAACAGAGTGCGAATTAATAACTAGAAATGTGTCCGCCTCTGCCTTTGACATTACACCTTCGCGCAGCGTCGAGCACATAGCTGTACCATTCTCATCTTGGTACCGCTCTATTTGTCTGGGTATTCTACGTATTTTTGAGCTTAAAAGCACTTTGGTTACTGCTTAGTGTTAGAGTACTTTATCATAATGCTTAGCGCACGTAAAAAATGCTTGTATGTGTTAAAAAAGCTCTCACTCATTCATTAGAGCTAAATTTTAAATATAAATGCGGTATTAGTTGGGCGTGGTAAAGCTAGAATTAATTGTTTATTCCCTTTAAGTTCTACTTTCTCGATTTTTTAAGTCTTCTAATTTTTCCAAAGTGTGTTCGTTTCCTATCGATCGATCCCTGTGAATTCTCAATTCTTCGCGATCCCATTCCGTACACATCGTAGCTTTATCAAGTTATTCGTGCCTGTATGTTGGACATCGTATATCACTTTAATCCCACGTTCAGTGATTACCCCACGCAACGTTGCCGCAAGTTGCGATGTGCTCGCTATAAATCAAAATAGACACCAATTCAGCTGAGTGCTCGCTTTACTTGGCTCTATTGTTACCGAACAACTCGTGGTTGTGGAGCCGGCCGACCATAAACGCCCGGTCCTGTCTAAAATATAAACTACGCGCCTGTATCGATCCTTAAATATATGGTAATGGATTTTCCAGATCTAACAGTAAAATTCATTTAATTTGGAAACAAAATTGTATTCAAAACACAGATATAGTTGCATAAACAAAAATTATACAGAACTCAAGAAAAAATAAAAAATTTTCAACACATAATGAAAAGTTTTTTTTTTAATTACTCTAAACTCACCGCAGGTCAATTAAATGCATTAATTTCATATTAGGCTCAATTTTAATTGATCCTATCCATCTAAAGCATATTTAGTTTGATATATTTTGAATAGATGGCGTGCGTGAGTGCATAGAGTTATCGACATTTTATGTCCATTTATAATTAATTTATGTTAAATAAAATATGTTATCGAATTTAAAATAATTTTTAATTATATTTGAGCTGGGTTTCTAACAATTTCAAAGCAAAAAAGAAAGAAAATAAAAATTAAACCAACAAAACAAATAATATTTAATTTTTAAGAGTTTCTTACTATTTAGTCAAGGTTAAAGCAATCCTTTATAGAACCTATACTAGGAAAAATAATCTTGTGATATTTAAAAAAACAAATAAAATGAAAAACTAATAAAATAAAATTAAATTAATTTAAATTGTAGTAGTTTTTTCTGCTAGTTCAAGTAGAGGCCACGTTTAACGTATGCGTCTTTAGGTTAGAGGCCACTGACAATTGTTCTCAAATTTAACAGATCACCATACTAAACAAGAAGAAACATTGAGGTTAGGGAGAAAGGTTAAAGAAAGCGGGAAGAAGGTGGAATGAAGCCTTGATTAGTGTTATGTTTTTTGTATGTTTTGATTTGAAATATATTGTTTCAAATGAAATATTCTGAGGAGCCCTTCAAAATAAAATATTGTTTATTGAAAAAAAAAAAAAGTAACAAAATTCCTTTCATTAAATGAACTACGCCAATCAAATGTTTAAAATTAATAATTTTTGGTTTAATGACTGAATTTTTCATACATTCCGTTACTGCCTCTTATTTCCGAATTCAACTCAAACAGCAATAATTTAAATACATTCTGAGTATAATCAGTTGTTGTTTTTTTGTTAAACAGAATGGATCAATTAAAATCAGTAGAATCAACAACGAGCAATATAAATTAAGTCAATCAAATAGCTTGCCAGTAATCCAAATTAACAGTATTCCCCTCTTCCCTTTAAGTTAACGCTAACCTCGTACAAGGCATAATTGAGAGACAATTACGAAGGAAATTAATTAGGAGCCATTCAATACCAATCAAGATGTTGTTGAATTTCTGCCTGGATTGCTCTAGTTTAAAACTGTTCAATCATTCATACAGCTTAACAAGTATTGGTTATCAATTTATTGACATTCGAAGTTCGATAACAAGGCAAATAACTCCTGTTATACATGGTGTTTAAAAAATATGGCTTGAATGATAATACTGATGGAACTCTTAAAAGTTTAATGTAATGTTTACCTAATAAAACTAGTTTGAAGACCGTCAATTTTTAGGGGGTGTTAACTGTGCCTTAGTGCTGCACTGTGCCACTGGAAAACGTGAAATAACGGCATTTGCAAACGTGAATAATAAACTAAATATTTTTTATTAGTAATATTAAAATATGTCAGAGTAACTAAATTGAGTAATTAAATTTTATGTTATCAATTTAATAAATTAAATTTCATGATACAAAATTGTATTATATTTGCGCCAATGCATGCAAAATATTAAGGGCGCGTTCACAATCATGGATGCTCTCAGTCTAAAATCGGGGAATTGTTGATTGGGATGTCATAAGATTTAAAAAAAAATGTGAATTAAGCTAAACGTAAATTTGCACCTCCTCCTGTCTTTTGGACTCAAGGGTTTCTTTGCCTCCCGACTGACAACACAAAAATTGAGGTTATGTTTATTAAGCAATTCCTACTTATTTTTCACAGTCGTGTCAGTCATATAATTTATCGTCCTACTAGTTATATAGGTTAATATAATGGTACTCTAAAAAATTTATACTGACACATACGTATCTACTAATTTCTAAGCGCACTGTATGCATTTGACATACGAGAAAAACGAAAAACAATATTTTACTTCCCACGCTCTATAGGTATGTCGTTCTATACGAAACATCAGTAAAAGCTACCTCGGAATTAATCAAGTCGGCGTGGATTAGCAAACAGTTGAGGAGGAACATGACTCGATTGCCGATTCACACATTAGCTCTACTAATGACATAATATACAGGTAGAATTTATTTAAGTATTAAATAGTCTGTGTGCCGGTAGTGATCACAATACATGGTGTTTGAGTCTTTTATAATATATATTAAAAAGTTATTGAAAAATGAAAATGAAATAGTAAAATATCTTTTAAGATACGAGGTATCATAACAAAAAAAATATAAAATATATAATTTATGTAATATTAATATGGTACAATTACATTAAATGTTGAAAGATAAATCCTTGAACCCAACCAATGAGAAACAGTTGAAAATTAAAATTAAATAAAAACTAGTAATCAAATTACCACAATTAATACCTTTTGAAAATATAATATAAATAATAAAAATTAATAAAATAAAACAAATTATAACAATATATACTGTGACCCCTCCCCCTGTGTCAATCGTATTTTTGTTTTTAAAAATATAGATGTCGTTTACTTTACTTTTTGGGTGGAAATAAGTTTACTTTTACAGAATTTGGTAAAATGGTAAAAAAAAACAAAAGACGGGAGATGCGTTGAGGGCATCCAGCTATACTTAACACGAAAACCTTAGACAACTAATTATGATGAAAATCGTCATATTTCTTCAAATCTACTCCTTTGTAACCTAAATAGCTTTCCTGAACATACTGTTATATACACCGATGCATCCAAGTCAAACCTAGACACTGGTTGCGCCTACTAAGTCCCGTCTCTTCATATTAAAGCTCTTTACAAACTACCTTATAACTTTTCTAGTTACACTGCAGAAGCGATTGCGATACTAGAAGGCTAACAATTTGTAACAGAATCTAACACTAAATCAGCTCTAATTGCTTCAGATTCTCTCTTTTAAAATCGGCTGTAGCTCTGGACATTCCAAATTTTAATTTAAATCCATACAATTTCTTGATCAAAAAGGCATTGTTCCAACTAATTAATAATAACGTAAAGACGTGCTTTATAAGGGCTTAAACACGATGAATATGTTGATACGCTAGCAAAATCTGCAATACAAAAGGCCAGTTATCCCAAACACTTGTATAAAATTAATGTTGTGGGCAGTGAAAGTAATAAATACAAATTATTAAAAAATTAATATTTTATTATAATACCTAAACCTTATCCTTTATTAGTGACAATCTCTTACCTAATAAATTGCCAAATATAGCTTAGGCCCCAACATGTTGTAGAAAATATTTCCTCTCATTGAACCCAGGTAATTAGTCACTTTCCATTTCTTGTGAGATATTGAATAACTGTTTTGTACATAACCTCAATAATTTTAATAACAAAGAGAATACTCATTAGTCGAAAATTCGTGTCAGAACACAACGGGTTATTACTGGATTATCCAGACAGTATTAATTTGCGGGGGTTTTATCCAGCCCGGAGCATCATCTTTTGTTGTAATACACATTGCGGGGGTAAACATCGCCTAATTAAATATAAACAGCCCAACAATGGGGGCGCTGCCGCCATCGTCCCCTCCATCCCCCGGCTCCGACCGACCGACGTCGTCGTCGCA